AAGGCGCATTCTGACTCGTGAGTTGTAGAAGTTTGTGGAACGCGAATTACAACTCGTAACTGGCAAGGCATACTCGTAGAGTGCCTTCCAAATGCGCCTTAATAGTTATCTTAGCTAGATTAATATCAAATATGAATTATCAATGAACTATTGTTTTACACAAATGTGAATAATAATTCATTTTACTCATTGTAAATAATTATTATTTATTAACTACTATTGTAAAATGAAATGTAATATTGCTATCAATAATTTTTTATTCATTATTTGTTTATATATATTGGAATTAAATTAAAGCGCGAAAAAAATGAGAATCAAATTCAAATTGTATGTACATTATGGAAAAAGTAGTTGGTTATTACTAATTAGTGATTTTATGAGATGATGGGCCTCAAACTCTGATTTTTACCTATAAGATGGTTGAGCTAATTTTAAGTTAAAATTTCTAATCATTCAATAGTTTGATTCCTTTTTTCTTCTGCTAAAATTTTAGATTTTCAATACATACCCATTACAGTTACACAAAAAGTAATTTATTTGGTAATTTGATATTTATAAAATATTTTTCTATTAAATTGTTTAATATTTTTACTAGTTATATTTAAATTTATTAATTATTATTGAAATAAATAGTAAATTTAAAATCTAAAAAAACTATTTTTTTATTATTAACATCAACACATAAATTTATTTAAGTGTTATATTAGGTATACAACTACAATGTAGGTATTATCAATGTTTAATGTTTAGTGCATGCAGTGAAAAAAATAGGTCTCTTCTCTCATATATTTCAAAATTGTCTTGCATGCAATTACAGGTCTATTCTTGAATGAGTATTGTTCTAAAAACTGACATATTATGTATAATCTAGTCACATTTATTTAAAATTTTACTCATTGTGTCAACGTTGTTTCCTGTGATCATAGTAAATCTTGTGCACAAAATCGAAAATTGTGAAACACTTTATTTAATTTACAAAGGTATTTTATTTCATTTTAAAATGAGTAAATCAAGTGTTATTTAGGATTTTTTTCAACTTGAAGCAGATAATATTCATGTTAAGTGTGGACTTTGTCGTATAAAATTAAAAAATAATCATTCTTCGACTTCAAATTTAATTAGACATATTAAATCTAAGCATCCATTAGTAAATTTATTAAATAGAAAGACTCATGTAATAGAAGAGACGATTGATGACCCAAATATTGCTCCATCAACTTCTACTTCTGTACGTTAAATCTATATATCACAATTCACATGATTCAGAATTTATTGATAAGACGTTCTAAACTAAATTCAAATCTCAGTAGTCCACAATGAGTCATTGAGTCACAGTACTACGGCACAATGATTCAGCTCGTTCAGTTCACCTATGATTACTATAATTTGGAGGTGTGTAACTTTTTCCACGAAAATGACTTATACTTTTGAATGAGAGTGATAAGTAATAATTGCCTTATCTAATTCTTATCATGGTATTAATGCCAAGTTTGTAATGTATACACATTATCATCTTATGTATACACAGTAATCATGAAAAGATAGCGTTTTCTTCTGGCCTTTTCTCAATAGGTATATCAATGTTTAATACCGTAAAATAATACATGAAAATTCAAATTTTCACAAACTTCAAAACGCTACAGAATATTTACTACTGAATATTAATAAGATATTTTTTTACTAAAATTTTTCTTAAATTCTACTCTACAAAATATCTATCTTAGATTTTTTTTTTACATTTTATTTAAAAATAATTATTTTTTTTAATAAAATGTAAAAAAATTAATTATTGAAATATAGCTATAGACCTAACGTATAACTAATATTTAAAAAAAAATCAGCTAAAAATATTAACTGGATCAAAAGTTATTTAAGTTGTCAGTGAGTGGTGGGCCACCCTGTATACATATATATGCATTGTACTTTAAAACATAAATATTATACTTTATACATTCAATGAAAATCTATGAAATTTCAGTATTTTTAGGACACAAAATTTGAAAAAGGCTGTTTTATCAATATTATAAATGAAAATTATAAGTTATAATTTGAGATTCTTAAAAAGTTCATCACATATCGGCACATATTATACATACCATGTGGTCAGGGATGTATTTAGGGAAAAAGGTAAGGGGTACCATAGCCTTGAGCGGTTAATTTTTTGGAATTAAGGGGCGGCAGTATTTTTTTATAACCATAGTCCATTATCCATTTTCATTCGTCAATTAAAATATTGGAAAACGGCTACATAGCGATTTTTATTTTCATTATAATATAACCGCAATGGTGTCCTTGATATTCTTTGAGATTATTTAAATTAAATAAGATAAAAACCAAACAATTATTGAATTTTTTTTCCAACTCAAAAAGAATTAAGAAAAAATGCAAAAATAGCCTTTTAACGAATGGTTTCAAACCTCATAACCCGAGCATGAAAGACTTAAGTGTAACCGACTCGACAACTATTAATCAATCAAGTTGGAAGATAAAAAGAACAATTTAAGATAGTTTGAAAACTTAAAGTCGCTTCTCTTAAATTAAGAGGCAAAATAAGTTTAAATTTATATTCAATTCAAGTCATTACTACAATAAACCTTTGTAAGTTATTTTAATATAAAAAATTTATAGAATAATAAAATCGAGAATTTGAACAGAAAAATAGCATGACTACAATCTAAAGTTCGAATTTTTTTTTTTCATATAAAAACATATTACTTAAGCTTTAATTTTTAATATATAGAAAAGTCTCAGTACTTCCGTAACATTCTGAAAAATTTTTAGTTCTATTTACGTGTTAAGTTTTAAACCCCTCTGTATAAAGGGAAAAGTCCGATTCAAAGAAAAGTTTGTCGGATGAAAGGTTTAACTTGAAAAAGTAACAAATTATTAGTTATTAAATCATTATTCATATTTACCGCGAGATCGATGGATAATTATAAACACTTCGGGCAAATTTAAAACTAACTTATAGTTTTTTATACATATCATAACACATACATTTATTACGAATTGCAATAAGTATAGTGAACTCATACTTGCATCACTTTAGTCGCGTATCGAGTTAAACTGCTTACTATTGTTTTTCATTTAGTGTTCGTAAAAGGGTCTGTAGTATTATAAAGTAACAATAAAATATTTTTAATAGGCTTTATCCTCTCAAATTTTAGGTTCAAAAGTTCCATCGATTCGCCAAGTTTTATCAGTTAACCTAGAATAATTAATCATACTATAAAAGAAAGTGCAGCATTGATTATTCGCTATCGTAATATTTCCTGGGAAAAAGCTCAAATTCCTACTTATGCATTTCAGCACTGTCTAAATAAGTGAGTCAATTTTTATGAAAAGTAACGAGTTTTGAAAAATAATTAGTACCATAATCATAATTTTCAATTATATATACACGTGTTTCAAAAGTCTTCATCCAATTTCAAAAATTTATATTTATATTAAAAATGAAGATATAAGGGTGAAATAAAGTAAAATATATTATTAAAATAGTCAAGTTTTATTTACTTTGGTTAAAAATGTTCAATATGACCCCCACCGGCCGCCCGACACACATCTATACGGTAATCAAATTCTTCCCAAACGTTGCTGATCATATTTGGTGTCACGGCATTAACAGGATCTTTGATTCTGATTTTAAGCTCTTCCAAATTTGTAGGTAATTGTGGTACATACACTTTATCTTTTAAGTAACCCCATAAAAAAAAATCACACACTGTGAGGTCAGGGGAACGTGGTGGGATGAATCGTCAAATCGTCGTTTCCTTTACGCCCAATCCACCGCTGAGGGAGTTCACCGTTCAAATATCGGCGAACTTCTAACTTCTAGTACGGCGGTGCTCCATCTTGTTGAAAAACAAACTCATCACTATCCGCTTGTAACTGTGGAAACAACCATGTTTAGATATGTGTTAGCCGTTACTGAGTTTTCTTCAAAAAAAAAATATGATCCGTAAACTTTTTTTCTGGAAATTGCGCAGAAAACATTGATTTTCAGTGAATCTCTTTGATGTTCGACAGTTGCGTGTGGTTGCTCTAAAGTCCAAATCCTAACATTATGGCGGTTGACTTTTCACTATGAAATTGCAAAAATCAATCATTTTTTGTTTGTCATCCGGTAGGAGGGCTTGTAACAGTCGTATTCGGTATGCCTTCAATGTTAAACGACGTCGTAGAACCCGCCAAACGGTTGAATGTGGGAGATCTAGCTCTAGGCCTGCACGACGTGTAGACTTCTGTGGACTTCGAATGAAACTTTGTCGAACACGCTCGATGTTTTTGTTAGAGGACGAGGTCGACCTGAGCGTTTCTGTGCACACAGACAACCACTTTCTTGGAACGTTTGGTGCCAATGTCGAATGCTTTGAGCAGTTGGAGCTTCAGTTCCATAAGTTCTTCGAAAATCACGTTGAACGGTTATTACCGACTCGCACTTATTGAAACGTAGGACGCAAAACGCTTTCTGTTGCGAAGTAGCCATAACGAAACAAACTAACGGTTCCTAGTTCACTAACCATTACGGTGCCAAATTTATCAACTAAATAACTTAAAATAAACTCGGTTATCTAATGTTTCCATTAATACATTGGTCATTAACCTGCGATTAACCGTTGCCGGAACTATATCAGTTCGTAATCGGATGAAGAATTTTGAAACGCCGTATATATAGAGAGTGTTCAGTAAGTAAGGAAACGGGTTTCTATTGTTCTCATTGTTTGTAACAACTGAACTATTTCCTTACTAATTTTCTATATATTGTATGAATAAGTATAGCACTTAGTATTTGCCAGTAAAAAAAAGATTAAATTTTAATAACTAAATAACTTTAATTTTTTTTATTATTACGCTAAAATTAAAAAAAAATTAATAACTCTTTATTTTAATGTAAAAATACAATGTTTATGACAATAATGAAATAGATAACATATAATAAATATAAAGTATAAAAAATCTTTAAATTAAAGTTAAGGTTTAAATGCAATGTTTTAAAAATAAAAACTATGTTGGTAATAAAAAGTGCTAGTTCTATTTTATTATAATAAACAATTACAAAAAAATCACAAGTTTATTACTTTAATATACAAATATTTAATGAATATTTTTTTGATGATTTAATAGTAAATCATTAAATGATTTTTTACCTATTGACATCCGAATTAAGGCAGTTGATTTTAGTAAAGAACTGGATGTGAAACTATCTGGTAACTTAGTCAAAAACTGGGCACACATTATAGAATCCATTTGAAGTAATTCAGTTTCATTGCTGTATAGTATTCCTTATATATAAATAAATATAAGTACTTGTATTATTTAATTTAATTATTATAAAATGGTTGAATATAACAAAACTTAATTAGGTTTTTACTATGTTTATGTGTTCTATTTTAGTGATACAACAGAAATTTTTTGGGGCGGTGTTATAATTTTTTCTTTAAGGTAAGGTACTTAGAATTAACTTAATAAGCAAATAAAAAAGATTTTACATGCTTTTAATTCAAGATCAGTTTAATTCTAAGGGTTTTAATAACCCCATAACCTTTTGGTTGTGCCAATATACTATTTACTTCATTTAATAATTAATAAAGTAATTTAGTCTAATAAAAAATTTACCTAAAGCTGTTTGGAATAAAAATGAATCATTTTCTCTTAAAAAATTATCCCATATAATAGATGCCAATTCTAAATTCATTGATTTGGTGTATACTGTATAAATCCATTCAACTAAATACATTTCTGGAGTTAAACCAATTTTATTGAAATGTATACTAAGTTTACTTAAATTATGTTTAAGTAGATCACTGTATGTTAAAAAGTACGAAGTCATCTAGAAATAATAAAAAACTTAAAGAACTTGTTCAATTATGTTAATAATTGTTTTTGATTTTACTGACCATAGGGTGATTTACAGTGTAGAATGTTTTAAGACATTGTGTTTCCATTAAATTTACTAGACAAATAAAGGCAGGTAACTCTTCCATATTTAATAGTAAAATTGCTGCTATAAAACACATTCCTTGAATATATCCTACATCAGGTCTCAGACATACAAAAGCACTCAATATTCTTTTTAAGACATCAAAATATGGTCCACCCTAAAATAAAAAATATAAACATGAGTTATACAATACAAAAAAACTTAATTAATTTTCGATTTAAATAAAAAGTAAGTAAAGTGACAGTAGGAAAAGATCATACAAGAATAATTACTTGTTGAAAAATACCCAAATGTGGAAAGGTTCGAGTAATATCTAAATAAATGTATTCTAGGCAATGTACACTACAATCATTTGAGTCTTTAAATTTTGTAGCAGAATTTGTAACACAACTTTTATACAATTCTTCATTAATGAATAAATCATTACCAATAGCAAGAGACCATACTTTTCCTCGTACACTAGAAGGTAAACCATTCCACCATAAATCGCGACATCTTTTAGTTTGGGACCTAGAATTTTTAAAAATTGAGAACCATGTTGTTCAATATAACCAAATAGCTTCAAAAAAAAAAAAGAAAAAACAATTCGCTATATATTTCATTCATAAAAAAAAATTAAACATATTAATAGCTATACTCCTATTTATTTTATTAAGTCATAACCCTTCCTGTGGTTTTTTGTGGGCATCTTTCAAATAGATATTGTGATCTTTTTGTATTTATCAGCTGTTTAACTCGTAAGATGTAAGAATAATTAATCCTCCATAAAAAAAGTCATGTTATGCAAACTTGATCTCTTAGTAAAATTATATTTTGTCATAAATCAAACAACAAATCATATCATCTTAATTTCAAAGTATAATAAATATTGTCAATTTTAACTAAAATCTTAAATTTAAAAAAAATTTAATTTTGTAATAATTACTGTTAAAAAATCAAGGGAAATATACATTATTTGATAACATCACCTCTAATAAATGTTTATTTCAAAATTTAGTGCAAAAATGTCTTAAGTCAATTTTTGTCTATAATTAGCTGGTGCATAATTTATTAATGCTCATGAAAAACCTAAATTTTTTACAAATATGTTTGTATGTCATGGACGATTTAAAAATAATATTCAGTTATACATTAAGATCTTAGTCATATATAGAATAGTTGCAATATAATATAATGACTATATTATAGATCTTATTATGATCTAGATTATTTAAGCAATAGTCATATATACAGTGTTCAATAAGTAAAGAAACAGGTCAATTGTTCCAAACAATGATAACAATAGAAACCCATTTCCATACCTACTGAACACTTTATATAATGATAATGATCAGTTTTTATATGATTACCAATATTTTATTGACTTATATTGGATTTTATGTATAATATAAAGTATTAATGTATGTAAAATATAAATGTAAAAAGTATGACTCAACATTTAATAATCTAGATTGTATTAATGTAGTGATAACACATAAGTGTTAATATCTGTCTTCAAAAAAAAAAAACAAAAATGCAGACAACACTTATTGAATCAAATCATCAAAAAGAAAAACAATGACATGAAGCTTCTTAATTTAATTACTAAACAAATAAGCATAGAAAATAGTAATATGTCAGTACATTGTATTCCAATTTGGAATTATTTCTTGATTCCATATTTGTGTTACACTAGCTAATCGTTCTTCATTTTTCAACTTTTGTTTGAGGTATTCTTTTTGTTTTTTAAAACTTTCATTTTCTACAAAATAAATAAAATAAATAAATACTGTCGAAATCTAGTTTAGTGGAGTTTAGGTATTTTTTTAGATTAATATTGATCAATATCTGATAATGATTAAGATCAGTTCTATAATGTGTGTTTAAAACAAATATAAAAAAACTTTATGATTTTTACCAAAAATTACATGATTTTTTCAGTAAGATTAATTACACAGAGAAGATAAGACTTCAAAATTTATTTTTTAGTTATATATTACAATAAATAAACTATAATTTGAAATAATTTAAAATATAGTGAATATTATTCTATTACTAAACAAAAAAACTATATAACTATCTATTTTTAACAAAAATTATTAACTTTTTGGCTTAAGATGGGCCTTCTAAAAAAAATATTGCTGTTAAAAAAACGACAAAAAATAATATATATTATTATAAACACTCAGTAAATATATTAAGAGTTTTTTCTATCAATAAAATTAAACTGTGAAATGTTACATTGATATGATAAATGTTAACATATTCAAAAAAACATTAAATTTAATTTTAAATAATAAAAAAATAATAATAATTTTATTGTAACTTTTTAAATGTTTATATTACAGTTATGTTTACTAATATTCAACAAATAACAACTAATATAATAGTATTAAAGTGAGAAATTAATGGGTTTTAAAAATAAGCACTCATAATAATTTCTTATTATTACGACAAAAAATTAATAATTAAAATTCAAAATTTTTTTCCTATTTTAAATATGATCAAAATATTAACAAATATTTTTAAGTGATCTTTAAGTATCACAGGTTTTTAATAATCGTTAATTCTTTCAGAAATGACTTTTAATTTTATAATAAAATTGCTCAAAATAAATTTTTAACGAGTGTTCTATAATAGACAAAAACATTTTTCAAAAAAATCTTTTCCTCTTTTAATTTACTCAAATTTTTAAAATTTGAAAAAAATATCTAATTTAATTATATTATAATATTTTTTAGAATCTTTTGGGCTTGAAAACACAATTCTAACTTCATAATTTTAGTATTAAAAAAAAATGTGTATACATTATTAATTAAATATGTTAATAAAAATTTAATGAATATTATATTTAATGAATGTATATTATAGACAATAATCAGCTTACCTTTTTTTTTAGCATTTTGTATAACTTGTTCGTATAATTTTTTATGTTCTAATTGTTCATCAATTGATTTAGCAGGTATATTTGGAGGTCGATCAAGTAATATGAGAGCAGAACTTCCAGCTACTATTTCTTCATTGTTACATATTTTACCAATTATACATTCTGGAGATTGAATTCCATCATATTTTTTCTAAGTTTAATAAAAGCCAATATAGTTATTTGTACTTAATAAATAAGATATTATCAAATTACTTTTAAGTTTGATTTTGTAGAGTTCCTTAAAGAGTTTTTGGTAGAATTTTTTGTTTTTCTTCTTTAAAAGAAAAAAATTATAAGTATGTATATTTATATACATAGAAAAATTTATTTATCACATATCACATATCACATAATTATTAAAAAAATTAAAATATTATTGATAATATTTATATTTGGTTTTTATGTTTTTCCCAATTTATTAATATACCCAACATAACCTTATTTATTATAAGGATTGTAACATAAATAATTAACTAGTTTATTTGATAAATAATGAACTAATTAAGAAAATGACAGGTCAACAATAACTTTTTTATTAGTATTTCAGAAGCTGTTGACTTAATTATAACTAGAAAGGAGGATGAGTATAGCTAGAAAATGATTTATGACAAAGCTAACACCCATTTCTCACTTTCAGCCTACACTATAAAATGTTAATAACTTCTGAAATACTGGTTTAAAAGTCGTTATTGACCTGTCATTTTCTTAATTAGATCATTATTCAACAAATAAACCAGTTTATTATGTGTGCTGCAATTAAAAAAATAAAATTGACACCCTTATAAAGTATAATAGACGAACATTAAACTAAAGTTACAAATAAAAAAATTCCATAAAATTATTTAAATTTTTTTATAAATTAAGTGATTTATGATAAATTAATCACCCAGTATACATACAAAATTATTATTATGTCATTTAAAATGCAAAACCTCATATTAGTTATGTCAACTTTATAAGAGAGCAAAAAAACAATATCCGCGTCATTGAAACTGCATTGTACTGTATTTTCAAATTTTTGTTTAGTAATTTTTTAGTAGACTCCATTAAAAATTTGTATGTAAAAAAATTTGTGTATAAGTTTATGCATTAAGTAATAATGAATAAAATATTATTACTTACTTATTTAAACAAAATATGACAAATTATATAAGTGATTATTTATAAAATTTTATAACTTAATAAATAAATATTTATAAATTTTACCGGTTAAAAATATGTATTGATGAAGAAACAGTATCAAAACATTCTTCAGATCTTGCATCACTACTGGTATGCAATGACAACAAAGAAGCATCAGATTCTAAATCATCTAGGCATGATCCAAGGGCTGAAGATGTTGCTGTTTGAGAACTATCACTATCATCGGTATCAATAATAGAATCCAGATTATTCCGATTAGATTTACAACTATCAACTAGAATATCTTTAAAATAATATTCTATGCAGCCATAGTCACTGACTAATTGTGATTTTCTCATTAATTTTAAATAATATATTAACCAGAAAAAATTTAAAAAAGTCGATTATTTAAGATATATTAAAATTTTAGTATAATAAAACTATTTATTTTTAAAAATTTTAATTTTTAATATTATGTTTTTTAAAGTTTTTTTGCGTTCAATAGTGTGGAAAAATTAAAGATAACACTTTAATAAAATTTACAAAACAATACTAATTAGTTATTTAAATGACTTTTGTTGGCCTAAAATAAAATAATTTGAAAACTAAGCCACATTTTCTTTAATATTAATTACTACTTTGGCAAAGAACATTTATTGACAACGTTTATCAATTTAGTTATTATCACTTAATAGTCGTTAGAATTATATACCATTATGATAGAAAGCAAGTTTACTACATAACTTTCATAAATCGCGATAAAAGGACTGGACATGAGGCTTAATCAGGCAATCCGGTTTTGTTAAACATTTCTCAAATAAGGGAGAATTCTTCATGTAACAGCGCCATCTACTATATTAAAACCGGATCGTTCTCCCCTTTAAACCAACAAGTCCTTTTTATCATAGTTCATAATTACATAGAATTATCACTGATAAAAATGTACAGAATCAATATAAGGAAATAATTAAAATTGCCATTTTTATATAAGTAAATCAGTGTGACCACTTTTCAGCACTAAAATTGTGTGTACTTCTTTCAAAATTTAAAGTAACAATTTTAATTAAGGTATTTGTTTTTTAATATTTTTGAACGTGTACAACACTACATAAATATTTAAGTATTTGATATATTTAAATAATATAATAATACGATAATTCCATTTAATAAAATAAAAACACAATAAATAATAATTCGTGTTCAATTGAATTATATATTTTTTAATTATTTCATACAAAAACGTTTAAAATTTTTCATTAATTTTGAATAAATTGTTTTATAAATTCATCATAGTAAAATAAATACCTTCTCAGCTTTGCATTGAAGCTAAAAACAAAAAAAGAATCAATTAACATAATAATGAAGTTTCAAATTCAACATACACATTCATCACATAAATTATACAATAATTACACAATTAATAAATTAAAAAACAATAAAAACTTTTTCAAATAATCTAAAACATGTAAATGTATTTTATAAATGTGCTAGTATATCAAGTTTCCTATATTTTCTCGGTTTTGGTATAACATTTTTGTTTAAAAATTTGAAAGAATAAATTATTCTCAGTCTTATGTAAAGGTTTCTTAAAAACTCATAATCAAAGTTTGGACATGGATGCTTAAAGGAAATATTACTTATTAAAATTCTTATATATTTTCTTTAAGCATTCATATTGGAAATTCTTCTATAAAAATATTATCTAATTCACTAATATAATTTATAAACTTATCAAGTGGAGAATATAAGTTTCCATAAGTGGATATATTTACATTATGTAAGCCTAAAAATATGTAAAAACAAAGATTCATCAAACTGATTTTGAGATTTAGCATAATTAATACAAATACCACAATTATGTTTTTCTAGTGATTTCTTAACTATATTTGATAACATTTATAGCCCTTACTAAACTTAAATCATGGTAAAAATGCTGAACAAGAAATACTCATAGTAATATTAATTTATTAATATTTAACTTTAGATTTCATAATTATTTATATGTTTAATAACAAAAATAGAAAAAACTTGAAAAGATTAACCACATATTTAATCTACAAATTAAAATTTTAATGATTGTAAAAGAAGAATTAGCTCAAACAATTTCTCATATGGTAAGTTTTATTTTTTTTGATAAAACTAAAAAATCAATAATAAAACATTTGTTATTCAAAAAAGAAAATTTAATTCACAAAAATCTCCAGATTTTTTAATTTTAAGGAAAAATCTTGTAATTCTAATAATTCTCAAACAATACATAACTATTAATATGAGGGAATTGGAAATACTTCAAAACATGAGGTACTAGTTAAAATTTAGTCTGATTTATGGGCATTAAAAATAGGTAGAAAAAAAGAATGTTGTAGCAAATTAATATTAAAAAATGACAAAATTGATAATTTGGAATCAGTATGTAATAAAAGTTTAATATTTTTTAATGTTCTTAATCTTCCTTTTATTTTTCATTTAGGTGTAAAGAATGGTGGTGTCCCAAATATTCCTCATTTTTAAATATATTGAAGGATTTAAAAAATATAAATACAGAAGATGCTAACATGATGATGATAGCAAGACTGTTTAAATTAAGATTTCGTTATTGGTCATCTGAAAGCAAAGTTAATACTTGAATTAAATAAAGGTTTTGTGTTTATATTATTCATTAAAAAATAATTTTTATCTTAGCTAAAATGTGCATGATTGCAACACAAGCAAGACTGCCATAATTAAAAATATACTATTTTTGTGTTCAATTGTTTTATTATTTTATAATACGTTATTAAGGTTTGTTATAGTAATGAGTTCAACAATTTTTATAAAAGTTCCATGAGTCTAACTTATATTAAAAGGCCATTTCAAAAACACTTTTATTATTAATTTTCTCCAAATTAATAAGAGTATAAAATTTGTTTTTATATTGAATTACACAGTAAAATCATATCACTAAAATGAAAATTTTTTTAACGATCAACACATACTTTTCTAAACAAATTTATTCTTTTGATATCAAGTCAGAAATTAGATTTTTTCTATTACCTCATTTTTGAGATTTTTACTAATTAGACATGAGAAATAATTCTTAAAAAATTTTTTTTTATAAAATTATAATTAATTATTAAAAATAATCCGTGCAAAATGTAATTTTTTTGATCCTTTAAAGTTAATTTTTATGAGTTTATAATTTAAAAATTTTGAACTTTAAAACACTATTTTAACTAAACTTGCAACTTTAAAATTTATATTAATAAATAGAAAATTTTGAGAAAAAAAATTTTTTGTATTTTTTTAGATTGATATGTGATCAGGAACTTATTTTTTTTGGAATAAATCTTTTAATAGAAGTCTTAGTAATCATTTTTATATAACTCTTGGTGTTTAAATACCCTATGTACATACATCGACTTTAACATCAATGCGAAAACAATTATTGATGAAAATACGACATAACAATAAGATATTTATACAATGTCTAAATAAAAATCTTGAAATCGCCCAGACGTATCCACAACTACTAATTTGCGATTTATGTTATGACTTCGCATAGTTTTCAATGTCTCAAATGAATTTCATTTGTTGTTGTGTTGTTAAATTACATTTTAACCTATTCATTTTTGGTTATTTTTAAATACAAGTTTTTAACTAATTATTAATAATATAAAAAATTAGTAGTGATGGAAAAAATCTAATTGCAGATTTGAAATCAGAACAATAAAGGGGTTTAGAAAATAATATTTTTGACTCTGATGAAAATTCCTTGTAGACCAGTAAATTTATTAATAAGTAACAAAAAATTTCTTTTGAAAAGTTTTGTATCAAGCCTTTCAATATTTATACATGTTTGCCATAAAAGTAACTACTTTATAATTTTTATGTATTTTAAACTAAATTATTAAATATCAATTTCATACTACATTCAATTGCTATTATAGATAATATATTATATTAAGTATATTATACTTATAAATAATAGAAATACTATTTAGGAACAATGAATGAAATAGAAGTTAATTTTCTTTTATAATAATCCATTAATTTCTAAAGACAGATTTGCATTGAAGCATTTCTTATAATATATGATTTTAATCACTGTCAGATATCAACTATACTTGTACTAACTATGCTACACTGTGCCGCAACCTCACTATGCTACTATATTTTAAATCCTTAAGTATTTAGAGGGAATTCATATTCACTTTAAATTAAAAATAATTTCTGTTTTCAAAAATAATTTATAGATAATATGACAAAGAACAAAATTTGTTCATACCTATTATTTTAAATATAAAATATTTTAGCCTTATATTACTAAAAATTTTTATGGGTCAATAACAAATTTAGGATAAATACTTATTGAAATACAAATATTTTAATACATAGAGTGAATAAGCAGCGCAGACAGAACGCACATATACTTGTATGAGCTGTATCTACATTCATTACGTATGTTGACTATTCTATCTAGACTTTAATTTTACTAATAATTCATTTCAGTTACTACTTGACCACAAAAAATTCTTTTAAAATAATAATATAATTTTGACATTCGTTTTCTTCTTCAAAAAGAAATATAATTGTTTAATTGAAAAAAATATGCAATTTATTTTAAATATTATAATTTTATAAAAAGTTTTGGTAACATTTACTAAGTCTTATATGGATTCCACAAAGAGTAAGAATATTAAATATTACTTAAATATTTATATCTTAAAATTTTTATATTTTTACACACTTTTAAAAAATCTAAGTTAAACTTAAATCAATCAAAGTATATACGAGAGCTAAAAAATTTGTAAATTTTTAATAATAGAAGAGCTATTTTATAATAACTAATTTAAAACTTACAAACCAATATTAATACAAATATTTAGTAATAAAAAGTAGTTTTTTTGAATATTTTTTGAGGTAAATTTGTTTTTGAAACATATATGAAGATTACAATAATGTTTTAAAAATAAATAATTATATTTTATTTAACATACCCTAGTACTTATTAAAAAATATCTGAGTACAAAACATAAATTCATATCAATTATAATAATATAACTAATACATATATATCAACATTAGCAACAAATTGGCCATATACTCCAAAAAATTAATTTTAAAACTATGAGGTTTATTAATTCCAATCATTACTCTCGGTAAAAATGTTGATAAAAGTGTTTTTGTCAAAGAATAAACTATTTAAATTTTTTTTTTTAATTCTAACTTAGGATATTGTAAAATAGAAAATAAATAAATAGACAATTATTTTATAATTTTATTAAATTTTTTTATGTTTATTTGATAATTCAACATTTGCTACCATAACATAGCATTTCTTATACCATGGGTGTAACCAAACATAAAATTTATTTTTTAATTTGAAATCCTATGTATAAGTTTGAAAATTTAAATTTTATAATAAATAATTATTTTTCATACATTTTAAAGGTATCAGCAAATTCCACCTCTCAATGCTAATACCAAATGTAATACAGATCCACCTTGAACTTTGTAATCTTGGGCTGTTTTTTCATCATTCCTAAATTATATTAAAGTTTTAAAATAATATTTATAATTAATTGATTTATTTTATAACCGTATTTACTCACATTTGTTTACCAGAAAAGATTAATCTTTGCTGTTGTGGTGGTATACCTTCTTTTTCTTCAACTCTCTCTTTTATTCTTTCAACTCTATCAGTTGGTTCAATATCAATTTCAATCTAAGAAATTGACGTCGTTTTAGATTTAATTATTGGACGTTTAAACATAATTACATTGCATTAATAATTATATAACGTTAAATCAACTTACTTCTTTACCAGTCAAAGTTTTTACTTTAATCAACATTTTGTACTTATATTAAGCCAATTATTAAAATATCAAATGAAGAAACAATCAAAATAATCTTGTAACTAAATTGGTTTCATGTAGAAAGTTAGCGAATAGAAGATTAGAGAATCGTTAAAAAAACCGAGAGCAGACCGACCATTTATGTGATAAAGGAGTGATAACATAATGACAATGAAAATAATTTATTATCGCTAAGAACGTTTCCAACATCATGTTATAATCACATTTAAGATAATATTTTATTTTAAATGTGCTATTACCATATTGCACATGAAATAAAACCTTATGCGAATTCTACCTTCTCATTAACTATACAGGATAAGTGATAACAATATTATGTTTGGCGTTTGTTTTATAATTTTTATTACTGGACATAAATAATAGATAAGCAAGTATATATATTTATTATATACAGAAATATTAAAAGTATGAAATCATTTGTAACAATAAAACAATTTATAAAATACTAATGGGACTTACTTGTTGGAATATTAACTGGTAGAAGTAGAGAATTAGTAGAAGTATTGAATAGGAGAAAAGTTAACATTTGTTGTGTGCAGGAAACTAAGTGGAAAGGAGAGATATCAAAGGAAATAGATGAGGGTTATAAAATAATATACCCAGGTAAGTCTAGTACAAAGAATGGTGTAGGGATAATAATGGATGAGGAGATAAAAAGTAGAGTAGTAGAAGTAGCTAGGAAAAGTGGCAGAATTATGGTCGTAAAATTGATATTTGAGATAAATGGATGAGATGATGCAAGAAATAAATGGTAATGAGGATGCGATGATAGCTGGATATGAATGGATTTGTAGGTAATGAGAATAGAGGATATGAAAGAGTACATGTAGGGTATGGTTTTAGTGGAAAGAATGAGGCTGGAGAAAGAATCTTGGATTTCGCAGTATTGTATGATCTTGCTGTGGTTAATACTTATTTTAGAAAGAGAAAAGAACATTACATAACTTACAAGAATGGGAGTAATAGATCACAGATTGATTATTTTATGTAGAAGAGAGAGAATGTAAAGCGAGTAAAAGTTTGTTAAGTTATACAAGGTCAGAGTGTAACTTCACAACATAGACTGATGGTAATGAAGTTGTAGTGTAGTGGGAATAAATATAAAAAATCAAAAAGAACCCGGGAGAAAAATCGAAGATCCGGTGGTGGAGATTGAAAGGGGAAAATGAAAAAGAGTTTCTACAGACGGTAAAAGAGAGGACTGTGTGGAATGTCGAGGGAGACATAAATGATGATGGAATAGATTTGCTAGTCTTGTAAAGAATACTGCAAAGGACATTGTTGGTGAGAATAGGAATAGAATGCCAGGAGACAAGGTAACCTGGTGGTGGGATGAGGACGTTAAAAAAATCATAGAAAGTAAGAAATAGCATTTCAAAGTATGGTAGAAGAGCAAAAGGAGAGAAGACTGGATGGAGTATAAACGATTGTGCAAAGAAGCCAACTGTGCAGTAAGTAAGACGAAGTTTAAAAAGTTTAATATGATAGGCTAGGAACAAAGGAAGGCGAGAAAGAAATCTATAGACTTTCAATAGTAAGAGAAAATGGTCTAAAGACTATCACTATGTAAGGTGTATAAAAAGTTAAAAAGTGGGTGTTAATGAGTGATGATGATGTCAAAAAAAAGATGAAAGAGTATTTTGAAAAATTACTGAATGAGGAGTATCCAAAAGAGACATTAGAAGATATCTAGTGAAAAAATGTACTGGTAGATTTAATTAGTGAGAAAGAGGCTGTGACATCAATGAAAAAGAATAAAGTATTAGAACCAAATGAAATTCTATTAGAAGTATGAAAAATATTAGGCGGTGGTGGCATAAGGGTCAAAAAATGAAGGAATATTATTGTGGTGCAGATATTTAAAAGTAAAGGAAATGTATAAGAGTGTGGAAATTATAGAGGCATATAGTTTATGATTTATATATGATTTATAAAAGAGAAAAGGTGTAAAGATTTTCATTATATAAGTTGTATAAAAGGTGTTGATAATAAGGTACACTTAAGTGATGATGATGTGAAAAAAAGGTGGAAAGAATTTAGAATTTCAATAATTTTGAAAAATTATTGAATGAGGAGCACCCAAAAAAGACATTAGTGGATATCTCGTGGATTGAGGAACTAGTAGATTTAATTAGTGAGAAAAAGGTATCGGAGGCTGTGGCATCAATAAAAAAGAATAAAGCAGTGGGACCAGATGAAGTGCCAGTAGAAGTATGGAAAATATTAGGTGATGTTGGCATAAGGTGGTTGAAGGAACTTTTAAATAAAATCTTATTAAAAGGGAAAATACCAAATGAATGGAGGAATAGTATTGTAGTGCCGATATTTAAAGGTAAAAGAGACATACAGGAGTGTGGAAATTATAGAGGCATAAAGGTTATGAGTCATAGTATGAAAATTTGGAAAAAGATAATAGATAAGAGAGTAAGAAATGAGACATCGGTATCTAAAAACCAGTTTGGATTCATGCCTGTTAAGTCAACAATGGAGCCTGTATTTTGTGTGAGGCAACTAATTGAAAAGTTTAGGGAAAAAAAGAAAAAGCTTTGTATGGTATTTATAAATTTGGAGATCGTGGATAAGATGAGAGAAAATAGACATTGATCATGTTATAAGGAGAGAAGAATCGAAAACCGTAAGAACAGTTGTAGAAATGAATGTTGAAGGAAGAAGAGGTAGAGGAAGACCAAAAAATAGATGGAGAGGTAGCTAATTCGTTTTTTATGACGTTATTCGCGCCCCTGTGCGCTCAGTATATCGCTGTTGGGTCTATATATTTAAATTAATTTATTATTTTCTTTAGAAAATTACTATTTATGCATTGGAAAATTGTTTAGATATTATTTTAAATTATAAAATAAAAAGGACATTGCTACGCGTGCGCTTCACTTATATATACTAATAAGTATATAAATATAATTGTTCGCGCCAAGTGTGAGAGGTGCAGTGGTTGGGTGTGTTCAGCTGGTAGCGCTTGTGCGCTATCAGCTGTTATGATGCCTTATCTGCGGCCCGCGTTGTTCGGTCGTTTTTTTATTCAAAATGTAATGTGTAACTGTTGTTATTATTATACAGTTTAGTTTTAAGTTACATTGGTTTTATTTGAAGTAATTGTTGTTTTGGTATTAATCAGTAAAAACTTTGCTCAATTTTCGTTTTAAAATATATTGTTCATATTATTATTGTAAATTCATATAGTTGTATTCTGTTTTCTTTTTCATTGGTTAGAACNTGGTTGTATCCTGTTTTCTTTTTCATTGGTTAGAACATTATTATAATAAAGCTACAGGTGGCATATCACCTTTATAAATGGTAGTTCATTTTATTCAAGTTATTCAAGCAAAATTAAAAACTAAATGTAAGTAATATGGGTGTTTATATTTATCAATTATTTAATTCAGCAATAATAAAAATTAATGTTGTTATTTAAATTATTTCTTTATATTTATTAAGTTAAACAATCCTATTTTGGATAAACAAAAAATATTTTGCATTTAACAAATTCTAAATTGTATAGGAAATTTTTGTTGATTATTAGTTACCCCTATTTTAAGCCGTACGGCCAAGTTCTGTTACCCATTTATATTTGGGAATTTTTAGAACAGCCCAGGCGGCAACAATAATAACATTTTTACTTGANGCCAAACATTTGGTGACCTCGACGTGATAGTGGTGCATTTTAAGTTGCGTCACGCACAGATAAGGGGCAAATTTTGGCTAATCTTGTTCAAACAAAATATATCATTAATTCATTTAATTAAATTAATTAGATAATTGTATATATACAAAAAAAAAAAAAAAAGGGAACAATAATAAAGTAGTTAAACTATAATTTTTATTTAAGGATATCTATTTATTTTCTTTCAAATTACTTAGTTCATTATTACCTATATTATTCACTAAACTTGTATTTTTTATTTGTGAAATAAGTACTTTGTACATTTATTTGCTGTAAAGTGTGTGGTAAAAAATATTCTGGTGGCATAGCGGTAAGTTGTTAGTTATAAGTTTAATATTAGGTAGCCATCCGCCCACACTTAGTATTTATTTCATTTAGTATTTGTTTATTTCATTATGCAAGATCCATCTACACCTACCCTTTTGTTACCACCTGCACCTCCATCATCTACACTTCGGCCACTCATTCGTAGAAGGGCTTCTACCAAAGCTTCTATTTCTTTTATTCAAAAGTTGGTTGAGAGATATGATCCAGCCGTTCACAGCCTTCGACAAATCAAGACAAGATTAAATTCATTGCAAGAACACTGGTCTACATTCATAGAAACCCATAATGAAATATCTGACCTAGAACAGGGCTTCAAAGAAGAGAATGAGTATTTACTGCTCGAAGATCAAATCTGTACTTTAAAGGCCACTATGGTGGACTTATTGGACAAATCTGCGGTCACTGAAGTCATAAGTACTTCTAATTCAACGCAAGCATCTCACATTGAATCTATGAGACTCCCTGCAATTGATCTACCAAAGTTTAGTGGAGATCTTCGCGATTGGCCAGATTTTATCAATACATTTAATGCTTTGTTTCACGATAATTTAAAAATAACTGATGTACAACGATTTCATTATTTAAAGTCAAGCTTAACTGGAACTGCTTCAGATGTCATTAAAAACTACTCAATCACTTCTGCCAACTATCAAGAGGCTTATTCTGAATTAGTCAGACAGTATGAAAACAAAGGGCTCACTATACAAACTCACATAAGAGCATTACTTCATTCTCCAAAAGTGCATCAAGCTTCAGCTGTAGAATTACGGAAATTGCATCATCATATTGCTTCACATGTTCGTGCACTAAAAGCACTCGAGCAGCCAGTTCAGCATTAAGATGCCTGGCTAGTAAGTCTTATTTGTAGTCAGTTAGATGCCACTACTGCCGGCAAATGGCAACTGCAACAAACAAATAATGAATTGCCCACTTATGCAGCAATAGAATCATTTTTAGCAAAACGTATTTCTGCCTATGAAGTTGGTGCTATTTCTAATTATGTAGAAAAGAGTATTCGGTCTAAAAATATGAGTATCAATAACAAGACTTTCTTTACTCGTCCTAGTGAGCAAAATTCAATGAAGTGTCCACTTTGTACAGGTGCCAACCGCATATATGCATGCATGTGAAAAATTTACTCAGATGCCAATTTCTGAACGACAAGCCACAGTTATGCGTTTAAAGTTGTGCTTTAATTGTTTAAATTTGTGTCATCAAGTAAAATCTTGTAAATATCCTAGTTGTCCGAAATGTAATAAGCGACATAATTCAAAACTGCACGAGGAATCTGCATCTTCCGTTACCAACGAAGATTACCATAATGAGCAAACTAACATTCAAGGGGGCTCTGCGGTTCTTTATACTGAAAGTGTGGGTATTGCTAAAAATCAAAGTAGTGTAATGTTAGCTACTGTCTTGATTTATGTGAATGATAGTGTGGATCAACGTCATTTATGTCGTGCCGTTCTAGACTCGGGATCTCAATTGAATTTCATAACTCAGTCCTGTGCCAAGAAGCTTAACTTATCTTTGTCTGACCTTACATTTAATATCGTTGGAGTTTCATCTATGTCATCGACAGCCAAACGTCTCAATACAACAACAATTTTGTTTAGACTTGGCAATTACCAATATAATGTTAATTTTTACTCAGTACCAATAATTGTCAACGCCTTACCTTCACAGTATGTTAATAGGAATTCAGTGATCATACCTGATCATATTAAGCGACATTTGGCAGACCCACAATTTCACCAGCCAGGGCCCATTGATATATTAATAGGAGCGGATGTATTTTTTGACTTCTGGCTTAGTGAAAAATATTCGCTTCCTCACAGTACTATACTTCATCAAACCAAATTTGGTTGGGTAGTTGAAGGGAAATGGCCTGGTATGGCCACAATTTCATTACAATCTAATTCATGTATGCTTAATGAACCTGCCTGTTTATTTTCAACTACTAAGTTGGCTCAGCGTACCCAAGAAGAAAAGGCAGCTGAGGAGCATTTCAGCACAACACATAGTCGTAATGCTGATGGTCGGTTTATGTTAAGGCTCCCATTCATGCAAAGTCCATCGCTTTTGGGTGATTCTTTTAGCATGGCACAGAGACGGTTTTTTAATTTAGAACGACGATTAATTAAAAATCCTACCCTAGCTAAACAATATGATGATTTTATGAAGGAATATTTAGTTATGGACACATGGAACCCGCTGAACCTATTAATGATGAACCTGTTTATTACTTGCCTCATCATGCAGTCTTTAAACATGATAGTACAACCACCAAAATTAGGGTAGTCTTTGATGGCTCAGCTACTACTACATCAGGGTTATCTTTAAGTGATATATTATTAGAGGGACCAAAGGTACAATTTGACATCTTTCATATATTATTACGTTTTCGTTTGCATCCTATTGCTATTACAGCGGATGTGGCTAAAATGTACAGGCAGATTTTGTTACATATTAGAGACTGTAACTTACAGAGGATACTTTATCGTTCCCAACCTGTTGAACCATTACATGAATTTAATCTTCGATCTATTACTTATGGTACGAAAAGTGCTTCATTTTTAGCTACCCGCTGCCTAACTCAAATATCACAAGAATTGCCTTGCACCATAACCCGTCGGATAATAACTGAAGATTTTTATGTGGACGACCTAATCAGTGGTGGAAGTACCGAGGAAGAATGTTATACCATTTACGAAAGGCTCTATTTAACGTTAGAAAAGTTTGGTTTTCCTTTGCATAAATGGTGCTGCAGTTCCCAGGCCGTTATAGATAGATTTTCGAAGGCAGAAAGGGACCCTAATTTTATGGTAGAATTAAAGGATAACGAAGTTATAAGTGCTCTTGGCTTATTGTGACAACCGTCATCGGATAGTTTCAAATTTATTATGAAAGATTGATTACAATCACATACTATGACTAAAAAAAGTTTATTGTCAGATATAGTGTTTATGACCATATTGGTTTAATTTCACCTGTTCTAATTAAGGGTAACATTTTCATTTAACAATTGTGGAGCTTAAAAATAGATTGGGATGAAACGTTGTCAGAAAATTTAAAATTCCGCTGGATACAGTTTTATTAAAAGTTAAAACTGTTAAGTAATTTAAATATACCTAGAAACGTAATAAGTACTGAAGGCTGTGGTATACAATTACATGGATTTTGTGATGCTTCACAAATGTATAATTGTACACTTCTAAATCAAGAGTAGCTTCTCTTAAGGCATCAACAATTTCTAGGCTTGAATTTTGTGGTGCGCTACTGTTAGCAGAACTTTTAGTTGAGGTTCAGAAAGAGTTGACGAAGTTAAATTTTGTTATTCCGCAACGAGATGTATATTTATGGACCGATTCAACTATTGCGCCGCCTTACCAATGGCCGTTGGTTCGAGTGTCTACTGTTCATCCAGGAACCGATGGAATTGTCCGTGCCGTTACTGTGAGAAATTCTGGCGGAACAGAGTTTAAACGTCCTGTGGTAAAACTGGCTTTTCTACCTACTGCTGATTATAATGAAATGGATGAACATAACCCCCTATAATATTGTTATCCCATTAATTAGTTGCCTAATATTGTGATATGGCCTAATATATGTAGTATTTTTATGAAGTTGTAAAAAAAAATCAATTATATTTTGAATGTGTTATAGTAATTAATTAATTTGTATTTTAAATAATCAATGTATTCGTATTATTAATATTATTCATAATTAATGTAATTAATATGCATTATTTGTATTTTTATGTGTTTTCGAAGTAAATTTTACTTATTTAGTTCATTAATTATTTTATATGTTTTTTGAATAATTATTTTCAACTGTTAGTCATAAATTACTTCAGTTTCTATATATGTGATTTAAACTTAGAAATTTATATGAGCCATGTAATTTTTTTTTTTTTCAATATTTGTTATTAGAAACTGAAAGATGAGTTCATTGTTGTATAAATCTTAGTTGTTATATTACCAATTTAAATGTTCAATGTTAACTATTTATAGTTCTTCAGATAAATTCATTAGTTATACTTTGTTATTTTATGTATTTTGGTTTGAAAGGCTCTGCGACCTTTCAAAGGGGGGTGCATGTTCGCGCCAAGTGTGAGAGCTGCAGTGGTTGGGTGTGTTCAGCTGGTAGCGCTTGTGCGCTATCAGCTGTTATGATGCCTTATCTGCGGCCCGCGTTGTTCGGTCGTTTTTTTATTCAAAATGTAATGTGTAACTGTTGTTATTATTATACAGTTTAGTTTTAAGTTACATTGGTTTTATTTGAAGTAATTGTTGTTTTGGTATTAATCAGTAAAAACTTTGCTCAATTTTCGTTTTAAAATATATTGTTCATATTATTATTGTAAATTCATATAGTTGTATTCTGTTTTCTTTTTCATTGGTTAGAACATTATTATAATAAAGCTACAGGTGGCATATCACCTTTATAAATGGTAGTTCATTTTATTCAAGTTATTCAAGCAAAATTAAAAACTAAATGTAAGTAATATGGGTGTTTATATTTATCAATTATTTAATTCAGCAATAATAAAAATTAATGTTGTTATTTAAATTATTTCTTTATATTTATTAAGTTAAACAATCCTATTTTGGATAAACAAAAAATATTTTGCATTTAACAAATTCTAAATTGTATAGGAAATTTTTGTTGATTATTAGTTACCCCTATTTTAAGCCGTACGGCCAAGTTCTGTTACCCATTTATATTTGGGAATTTTTAGAACAGCCCAGGCGGCAACAATAATAACATTTTTACTTGATACAGTACTAACAGGCACATTGACAAAAAATATACTAACAGGAATAATACAAATTGTTTGTTGCACTGGTGTTTTTGCGTGTAAGAATAGCAAAAATTATAAGGAATCTATATGAAATCTATTAAATTTAAACTGTAAAAACAGTTATAGAAATGAATGTTGAAGGAATGAAGGTAGCGGAATACTAAAGAAGAGATGGAGAGATGTTTTGAATGCGATATAAGGACGTCTGATGTGAGCGTAGAGGATGTGGGAGATCGTATCAAGTGGAAGTTTAGGATAAGGGTGGGCGACCCCAAGTAGTTGGGATTAAGGAGAGGAAAAAGAAGACATAACTTTTAGCATATAAAAATATGTTTACCTTTTCTAATAGAAAATTCAAAATTAGATCTTGAATTAAAAAATTTGGTAGTAAAAAATATTATTGTAGGATACACATCGGTCGAATGTGCTGTCGAGAATTTGTGTTGTGATTAATTAGGCTATTGTTGTGCTACACCGAGTTGTCGGTCTTCTCTTTATGTCTTTATTGTCGCCGCTATCTTAGCATATTTTAACTACAAGCTCTATTACGCTTGCGAGTCAGTATTAGTTTTGTATTCGTTTTGTTGTAAAAGTAAAACACCACCTTTGCGATTGTCGCACCCTTGTGCGCTCAGTATATCGCCGTTGGGTCTATATATTTTCTGAGATACATCTGTTGGGTACGCATTACGAGAGGGCGTTTTGCTACATCGTATTTCTATGACTGATAACGTCTCTCGCACTACCACCACTAGTTGTGTGAGCGATTCATTGCGTTGGATGATTACGTGCGCGATTGATGTAAAATCCTTTAAATCGTAGTGTATGTGGTGTTGTTACTGTTTTGGCCCTTGTTAAAGTGTTCCATAAGGCTTTTCGTGAATAATAGTTTTTTTTATATATAGACAATCGCTATTTATAATTATAATTTATTATAATAAGACATTTATAATTTATTGTTTGTTTATATCAGCGACATAGCAGCATTAGTATTAAGTGTCCCCCTATCCACATTGATGTATATACGATTTTATGATTCATGTATATATATTATGATTGTTATAATTATATATTGTAAAATTAATTCTAAATTTATTCATACAGTCTACTCACCTTATTCCTTATCCTCGACATAGCCAAAGACTTAAGACAAAATAAAACTATTAACGTTAACAAACCCGCGTGAATACCACCAGGCTAGTTGGGTTCATTCAACTTATATTATTTAAAATTAAAAATATATTTAAAATATTAGTTTAAAACTAATTACACTATACTGCGCTTCAAACCCGAGGTCCTACGAGTTTCGAGTTGTCCTTATAAGTAGACCATAGATTACGATAGAAGTAGCCAGCTACGCCTAGCACGATAAGTGTTTTGTAGGAAAATTATTACATCACAATTAGTGTAACATAAATACATCAGAGGCACCTTGATTCATTTCAAATTTTTTTTTTGTAATATTTAATTTCTCTTTTGCAGTTTTGCGACTTATTTTTTAACATATCATTAACAGCTTTCATTTTTTTTACTTGAGCTTGAGTAAATAGTTACGTCTGCATACCGTGAATTTCCGTCGATATCCATTATTATTTTCATTTTATTGAAATATGATCTGTTGCACGCAGGACCGACTTAATAATTATTTTTTTAAAAACACTTATCAGTCGACCGAATGTCCACGGCATGTATTGTGAACAATTTATAAACAAAATTATATAACAAATATTACACGTTAACGTAGAAGCGAGAGCAAAACAAGCATGTTGCTTGTTTGAATATCAAATAGCAACTGTCAAATTAAAATAGTTTCCTAAAAATGTGTGTTTTATCAAATTTTAATAACTGGGTTGCTAAGTGCAAAAATATTTGTAATAATTTCTAAGTAAAATTTTAAAACATGATAATTATCTCCTTTTTAAAATTGATATTGGAAAGAATAGCTAGAACAAGATTGGACTTGAAATCTACTACCATACAGAAACAACTACAAACATACAGTACAAACGGCACAGAATGCAGATTTGAAACTGTTTATACTAGAGATTACAGAAATGTTGATTAGCCTGTAGAGATAAATAGATAATTTTTTAAAATTTTAGGTGATCGATTATTTTTAATAAAAATTGAAGATGATGCAATTTGGAAAAAATTTGAACTGCACAGTCTGAGTGAAAGACAGTATGAGTGAATTGAAGCAAGATAGAGAAGAAATCATTGAGCAAAGAAGGGAACAGAGTAGGTTATATACAAGGTGTGTTCAGAAAACAACAGGTTTTGATTTTTGAAAAAAATATTTATTCTTCTACATTAATGTTGTCGCTTTTAAAAAAGTCTCCATTAGATACTATATTATAGATATTATGCTTCTTTTAATCCTCAAAACACTTCTCAAACTCGATCTTTGGGATGGCCTTCAGCTCATTCTGCGATGCACTTTTAGTTTCATCTATGCTTGTAAAACGATGACCCTTTAAGGTTCTCTTTATTTTTCTAAATAGAATATAGTCACACGAAGCCATATGCTGGCGAATATGGAAGCATCGTTACAGTATTGTTTTTGGCCAAAAATTCACAAACAAGCAATCAAGTGTAAGCAAGTGCATTATCGAGGTACAAAAACAATGAACTATTTTACCACAAATCCGGACATTTTTTTCGGATTGCTTCACGCAAACGACGTTGAACTTGTAGGTAATATTCCTTATTGACTGTTTGACCTCATTCGAAGAATTATAATGCATAATGCCAATAAAATCAAAGAACACAGTGAGCATAACCTTCACGTTCAATTGAACTTGTCGAGCTTTTACAGTCTTGGTGATCCAGAATGCTTACACTGGGACAACTGAGTCTTAGTTTCAACGTCGTATCGATAAATTCATGTTTAGTCACCTGTTATAACACATATCAGTAATTCTGCATCGTCATTGATTTCATTGAGAGACTCCTGAGCAACTACCATTCGCCCCTATTTTTATTTAGTTATTCTAAAGCATGTATTTTGTTAAAGTGAATTGCATATGTAAAAAAAAATTTTGGAATTATGTGAATGCAATCGTGATACATATGCTACTGTAGTTAATGTTTTAGTTGTTATAAATTTGTGTTATCTAGGAGGAGTACTGTGATATATTGTACCGAAGGAAACACTGTATCAAATATTATTAACCTGAATGTATGATGTAGCCTCTAAATATTACTAATCATGTGTTATTCTATGATTAAAGAAATAATGTGATTGCATATTATTCATATATGAAAAATACTAAATTAATTAAATATCAAAGTGTATTCAGCAAATCGCTGTTTATTATAATTACATTATATTATTATAATTATACAATTGTTACACTTAAAATCTTATTATACCATCGATTTTATCGTGAAAAAATAGATAAGGTTGTATTATATCATTACTCAATTATTTCAAAATAAAATAATACTGGAAAAAATATATAAAAAAACTAATATTTTTTTTTGTATTACCAGAAATTTGTTCGCTTATATTTACTCCAAATATACAATATTAACATTTTTAAAATCCTTATAAAATTATCTATTTGTTAATTAAAGTTTTATAATTGTAATGATAGTAGTTGCTGTGTAAAAATGACACAAAATTAATTTAAGGGACACAATATTTCAACATTGAAAATTGGCGTAGAACCATTTATTCTCACTAGTAAACAAGTGTATCGCACAAAAAGTAAATGCTAGAATAATGCATTAAATCCAATTAATTAACTAGTGTCCAATAGCTTAGTTGGCGATACGCTGAAAAAAATAAGTGGGTACTCGGACGATGTGTGTGATAAGGTGTCACGAAGATGACTTCATTGTATATTTATTTTATACAAATATAAAATATACAATTGTTGGATTTNTGTGGATCGCCATCAGCTGTATAGTAATTGTTGGATTTTGTACAGAGGTGTATGTAAGCTGTGTTAGTCAGGCAAACTACCATGTACACGTAGTATTACGACAGCTGACAATGGAAGCGCGGGACGCGGGTCTCCGTGTATCATATGGAACAACGCGGGACCGTGTCAGTAAGTTAAACCAAAAAAGTTATATTTGCAAGTTAAGCCTTTTTTTTTTTTTGAAAAATAACACTCAAACTCAACTTTAAAGATACAAAAAAACGATTAAACTTGATATACTAGTTCCATAACTCAAATTAAACATCATGAAATAATATTAGAACAGCTAAAAAATAAAAAAATATTTTGTTATGTCGATTTTACTGTGTAATTATCGCTTAATTACTAATTAGTAATCTCAAAAATGAAATTTGATATCAAAAAACATCCAAAGCCAGATCCGGATTCAGCGTTAAAATTCCTTATTTAATGCATAGAAAAATTGTAAACCATATTTTTTCTATGTAATTAACCAAGAGATTCTTTATACGGTATTCCCCTATTTATGTCGCTAAGATGTTGTCGCAAACAACCAAAAAGTAAATAAGGGATATCTATTGCGGGTAAATACTTTTACTTCGCGTTCGTGGAAACTCGCAGAGTAGTTGTATGAAAATGTGGCAAAAAGATAGGCATAAACGTAGATATACTTAAAATATTGACCTTACAGGTAATAAAATAATTCCTAAATTACTTGATAATTATTATATTTTGCACTTTGGGCATTTTTCAATTTATGTTATTATGGTTGTTTTTTTAAATTATAAATTTATAGTTATAATGAGTTAGTTGATAACATGTTATTATTGACCTTAAATAAATTTGATAATAAATTCAATCTTTTCATTTAAATACATACTTTATTAATAACAAGTTTTACTGCGCAATTCTTTTTAATTATTTATATTTAGTTTATTTAAAATACAGAGTGATCCGTTTATTATAAATCACTCAATTACTCGTAGAATAAAAATAATATATATTTTTTTATACTCTTATTTATATATCGTTCTTAAATTACTGACTATAAAATACTTTTAAATTCATTCCTATACCTTATAAGGGTATCAACTTCATATTTCAAACGGTAACATGTAGTTTTAATTTTTAATAGAGATTTATTATTATTATTTTACAATGCTGAGATTTTATTATTAAATTATTTTTTTATCAGTTATAATACTTAAAAGTTTCAATTTTGGAGTTAAAATACATAAATAACACACGAGTGATCACAAATACTGTTAGCTAATTACTTCGTTACGACATTGTTATTCACAGTTATGAAGCGTTATTGCCAATTACAACACTATTGGGTGATAACATCAAGATAGTTTTAAGACACAGTGTTGCAACTAAAGGCTTAAAATTAACATACAATTCTTTCTAAATATGAAAAACATGTTTATTTACAACCGGTTAAATCATAATTGACAATAAATGCTACGTATCTTTTGAATAGATCCATCATAAACAAACATGTATAATATTAAATGTATTTTAACTAAAAGGTTCGAAAGTTTAAAATGTCATATGTAATAAACATTTAAAATTATATTAAAAATGCAAACCCCATTTATTCTTATAGAAACCTCAAACATTTATTGAATTCAAAACATGTTTTCCCATTTGAAAAAACAAATAGATACTCGAGTTAAGTTAAATAAAAAAAGTAATGAATGAAAAAAAGTATTACATAACTAGTAATTAGAGAACAATATGTAACTATAAGTATGAAAAAAAATTTAATTATTTTTATTCTGCAAGTAATTAAGTGGGTTAAGAATCATAACTTATGATAAAAAGGTTACTTTGTGTGATTAACATACTTAGGATATTTAACGAAAAATATTTATTGGATCAAAAATTATTAGATTTGTCAAAATATCGTAAACTGAACACTCTGTATTAATAAAGCAGAAGATACTATGAATTCAACATAGTTAAAACTAGTTTATGTGTTTTGGTAGGCACTTATCACCTTATAGGCACAGTTAGAATAAAAAATTTATAAAGGAATAAGTTCCATTTCACCTAAAATTATACTTGTAATGTATGAAATTGTTTTTATATAGAAATACTATATATATTATATATGAAATAGGATATTTTTTTTTGAGTTTCCAATAATATTTAAAATATATTTTAAACAAGTTTTAAATCAAATAAATAATATTTTATTTTTATCACTTAGTTTAATTTATATTAATTGGAAATATTTTATAAAGAACTTAATTATTATTAATACATTCATTTTATTTTAATTTTTTAAGAGATGGTTATACTGTTTAGNTTAAACTATAATACCAATTTAAAATTTCAAACATAAATATTTTGTTTTATTTTATATCTCTCCCTTTGGACAGGTTTAGGATCAGATTTATAAAAAAATATATCAAAGGATAGGTAAAGAAATCAAGCATCTATTAAAAAAAAAATTATATTGATTTGTTTAATTTTGAAAAAGTTATGGCAGTTTAAAAAAAAAAAAATTTCGAAAATTAGTGACTTTTAAATTTGTAATTTTTTTGGAGGTTTCCCCCATTTACGAGGAACGAGGTAATTTTTTTCAATTTTTGAGGTAAATGCCTTCGACTAGATACGATTTGTGATCTTTTAACGTATCGTTGAAAGAAATTGGTTTGGTGAGAGCTGAGAAAAAGTGGTAACAGACACAAAAAAAAACACATCATAGTAAAATCAATACCTTCTTAGCTTCACATCGAAGCTAAAAGTAAAACAATATACAAAATTTATTGTTCGCAGAGAGAAAATGCATTTGACTGTCAAAAAAAGTATTTAATGTTATGCTAAGGCAAAACATTTTTCAGAATTACAGCCAACCAACACTACTTCGTTCGATATATAAAAAAGATATGGATTATCAATTTTTTTTTTAATTGTTTTTTATATGGATAATGGATAATAATAATGTATAATGATTACATTGTAAAATTTTAATATCTTTTTAATAGCTTGGATTAGATATTTGCAAACTAAATTATTACTTTAGCTTTAAAATAATTGATTTTTTTATCAAAAAATATTAAGATAATTATAAAATAAAAAATGTTTATAATTTAAACACAAAAGTTTTAATTTAGAAATAANAAGTTATGCTAAGGCAAAACATTTTTCAGAATTACAGCCAACCAACACTGCTTCGTTCGATATATAAAAAAAGATATGGATTATCAATTTTTTTTTTAATTGTTTTTTATATGGATAATGGATAATAATAATGTATAATGATTACTTTGTAAAATTTTAATATCTTTTTAATAGCGTGGATTAGATATTTGCAAACTAAATTATTACTTTAGCTTTAAAATAATTGATTATTTTATCAAAAAATATTAAGATAATTATAAAATAAAAAATGTTTGTAATTTAAACACAAAAGTTTTAATTTAGAAATAAATTGCGAACTTAACAATTTTTTTATTTTTTAGGGTGTTTTATAATGTTTGTAATAGCAATTTAAAGTGTTTTCAATGTTTGAATGATTTAGATTATTAAAAGGTCTTAATATTTTATATGTCTAAATTGATAAAAGTTTATTGTTGTACCGTTTGTTGCATATTAAATTAAAAAATAAAAACAAAATTTAGCCAATTATTTTCTCAATTAAATTAATGTATCAATATAATGGGCGAACGTGATAAAATTTTCAATACTCGGCGTGGATTAAAGTCTTAATTAACATTAGTGGCTTGATATAAATACTGCTGAAAAAAACATTTCTAACGTTTTAAGTTTTTATAAATAAATTGCCTCTCTTTTAATAAGTTATAATAATTAATATTTTCTTTTACATTAAAAAAAAAGTCTGTTAATATGAAATATTGTCGTCTACATGAATGTATTTCCTATTATTTTTTAGTCATATTTTTGTTTAGTATAAGTTCTGCAACAGTTGTAAAGTTTCCTGATAAATTTTTATTTGGTGCTTCATCAAGCGCTTATCAAATAGAAGGTGGTTGGGATGAAGATGGTAAGTAAAAACGAATGTCAGAAAAATTATTTTTCTGAAAATTAAAGCCTTTAAAATAAAGAAGATCTTGTTTTATTTAAAAAAAGTAGATTTTATTATTTTAAAAATTTGTAAACATCATCGAATGATATAATATACTTATAAATATTCTTTGTTTAATAATCAATATTCTATTTATTATTATATTGTAAATATAATTAAGTATAGAGTAATTTAAAAAATAAATAAAATTATTATAAATAAGTAATTAAAAGTAATAATAAATTATATTAAGATAATACTTTTTTAATGCTAACATAATTATTTGGATAAACACTCATTATCACATAATTGGATGACATAAGAATAAATATTCTTTTAAAAAATTGGTAATTTAAATAATTATTTTAATATCAAGATAAACTATCATTTAATTCGTGATTTTCATCAATTAATTTCTAAAAAAAAAAAATACCACAAATAAGTGATTAAAAAAAATAGTAAATCAAATTATTTGGAATACTTTTGAAAAGTATTTTTTTTGTATTAAAATAAAAATATTAGAATAAGAATTTTAAATATATTTTAAAATTATTTTTACTATAGTTGAATTTTATAAATTAGTAATTATTTAAAAAATTAAAGAAATAATGATAGTACTCATGATGTATGTTTGTTTAATAACGATGGTTTAACCGTTGATAACTTCTAGATAAAAAGAGAAAAATCAGATCCAGTTAATGTTTTAAATTATAAATGTATAATGTATTATCGTGTTCTAAAAATAGTGGTATGGAATTAGAAATATTTAGGGTCTTAAATGAAGGTTACAGAGGAAAAATAGTAGTAGTTTATTTTTTCGATATTCATTTTATGGTTTATTTTTGATAGCACCTTAGCAGTAGTATAAAGGAATTAAATGTTTTCGTGAAAAATGTTCAGTTTTTTAATATAAAAGTGTCTACTTATATTTTATTATTAAAAGAATAGTAATTTATAACTTTTTTGTTCTTTGAAAAAATTTTCAGAAATGGATAACTACAGTATTTTTTTTGAACCCTTCAGATATTAGGCTACAAAAGCTGTTGCGCTCAATTAGTTTACTTTTTAATATAATAAATTGGTTTTTGTAGTTGGGAACTCATTTTATAAATATTATCTTAATTATTTCAATGTAATAAAACTAATTAGTTTTAACGAATTATTTCATATTTTAGGAAAAAGTAAAAGTATTTGGGATGGAATATATCATAGCAGCAATAACGAGACAGTTCAAAAATATTATTCAATACCATTTAGTAAACATGCGTTCAAATTTCTTAAGAACTATAAAGTTAAATTTATAGGCATGCAAAAAAATAATTTATTTTTCAAAAATTTATCACCTCTACCGATTCCTATGTTTCATAGTCCTAATGAAGATGATAACGTATTATTAAATGGAGACGTTGCATGTGACTCATATCATAAATATAAAGAAGACATAAAAATACTCAAAGAACTAGGAGTATGTTTAGTTTTGATAAAATCTTATAAAATTAATTTATTATTTTACAATTTTAATGTTAATACCAAATTATTTAAATTAATTAATTAATTTAAAATAAAATTTCAGGTAAAAGTATATCGTTTTTCATTGAGTTGGCCAAGAATTTTACCACTAGGGCATGATCATGAACAAAACCAAGCGGGTATTGATTATTACCATAAAGTGATAGATTTGCTACTTCAAAACAATATCGAGCCTTTGGTAAGTATATTTAATAACTTACATTTTAATTCTATACATAAATAATAATAAAATGGTTAACTATAACAATCCGATATACAATTTATTGGTAAAAAATGACCATTTCCTTGAATACAAAGAGTTAACTTAATGGATAATAATCAACTTGTTGTAGTCTAATAACCAAAATACAAGATCTAAATTTAGTTTACTGATGCATATCAAAGATTTTAATAGGAACATAGATGGCGCTGCTGTTAGAATCACCTTATATACATATTATATGAGCATTAAACAAAATATGTTTAAATAATTACACTACATTAACAAAAATTCATTATTGTTTTTATAGATTACTATATATCACTGGGACTTACCAGAATCACTTCAAGTTCTTGGCGGTTGGGCAAATGATAATATTATAAGATATTATGTGAACTATGCAAATTTCGTATTTAAGACTTATGGAAATAAGGTAAATTAATTAAAATTTAGAATCTATAATTGACTTACCATTTCATATTTCATTTTAGCTAATTGATTTTTTATGACATCAATATTCGCAGGTACACAACATTGTTATTATCAATGGTAATAAGGCACATTGTTGTGAGTTTATAAATACACTAACTGATAATATAAAAAGTATCAATATCTATTGATAGTCATAATTGATAATAAACAATCCGTGACTATGATAGCAATTTCATAAAAAACCAATTAGCTACCTGTATTCCCTTGTGTATTATACTTGTATATTAACACAAAAAATTTGAAACTTTAAATGTTTATATCTAATAAACAAATAAAATTATATTAAAAATTCAAATGCTGTTTATTATTAAATTAAAAACTCAAACATTTTATTAAATTCAAAATATGTGTTCCCATTTAAAAACACAAAGTTGATACCCTTACAAGGCATAAGGGGTGAACTTAAAAAGTATTACATAGTTAATAATTCAAGAATAATGTTTAACTAAAGATAACTAAAAAAAAAAAATGTTTAAATTATATTTATTTTATAAGTAATTGAGTGGGTTATGATAAAAAAATCACTCTGTATATAATCAACAAGGCATAAGATCTTAAGTAATTAAATTTGGTGAATATTTTTTTGTCGCTACTTTAAACCAAAGTATAATTAAAAAATGAAAAAAAAAATGTTGTGGTCGACCTGTTTTATAACGCCATAAAGAAAATAGGAAAATTAAATGATAACATTTAAACATGAGTTTAAAACACTCTAGTTTCACTGTTTTTTTTTACGTCTATTATTAAACTTCGATAATAAAAAACAGCTATAATTTAAAATTCTAAAAAAATACCAATTTAGAATACATACAATAAATAATTGACCAATGTATCAAGATGGTGTATTCAATATTGGAATAGATATTGTTATTCAAAGTAAAAAATAAGTATAGTTATAATAAAAAAAAAATTAATTTTAATCACATCAAGCTTTTCAACTTTTTTTAAACTTATTTGAATTAATTCTATTTATTTGAAACTAATAATTTAAAAAAATAAAATAAAATTATGAGTAGAAAAGAACTATAACCATTTGAACTATAACTATTTTTATTTATTTATATAAATAAAAAAAACCCACCACACTGTGCACTTGGCATAGATAGGACAAATACAGATGATATATGAGGGTGATTAAAATCACAAGAAACGTTTTGATGCAAATCCGTAGATAGTGTTCATTTTAAGAAATTGGTGGTTTATTCCAAAAGCAAAAGTTAATGTTTCGTGGAAAAATTGCTATTTTAAAAACCCCTGTGGGGAAGTAAAGGGTCAGATTTTCAAAAAATTTATATTATGTGAATAGGANTCAGATTTTCAAAAAATTTATATCATGTGAATAGGAAATATGTAAGGTATTTATATAAAAAAACTATTTTGATTCATTTATTTTTCAAAAAGTTGGCAGCTTTAAGTACCAAAAAATAACATACCAATAGAAGGTGGTTTTTTTCAAAATTTACATTTTTTGTTTAATTACGAGGTATGTCAAAAAAGTTCCCGGACACTGGGGAAAATCGTGCTTTATTATAAAAATTAAGTTACAATAACTTTATCCCCTTCAAAGTATTCCCCCCTGGCACTAATGCACTGGTGCATTCTTTTTTTCCAGTTATCGAAACATTTTTGCCAGTCATTTTGTGGCATGCTGTACAGTAGCCGTGCCGATTCTTGTTTGATCTCTTCCAAACCCCCCAAATGTGTTCCCCTCATCAAATCTTTCAGTTTATCAAACAAAAAAAAGTCACAGGGTGCAAGGTCCGGTGAATAGGGCGGATGTGGTAGCACTGTCGTTTGGTTTTTGGGCAAAAAATCTTGCACAATGAAGGACCGGTGTGCTGGCGCATTGTCTTGATGGAGAACCCAAGAGTTGTCTTTCCACAATTCTGGCCTCTTCTTCCTTATGCGCTCCCTTAAACGTTGCATAGTCTCAAGGTAGGCTTGTCCAGTGATTGTGTGACCCTTTGGAGTCCATTCCAGGAGTACCACGCCGCGGCAGTCGAAAAAAACAGTGGCCATCACCTTCACTTCTGATTTGCTTTTGCGCGCTTTTTTTTACTCTTGGTTCATCAGGTGTTAGCCACACCATGTCAGCCCGTTTTTTGACGAGGTCATACTCAAAAAATCCAACTCTCGTCACCTGTGATTACTCGAGACAAAATGTTGTCGCTCTCCTCAGCTTCCAGCCAGTCCCTGCAGATTTCAACGCGGTTTCGTTTTTGATCGTCCGTCAACACTCGCGGAACCATGTGTGGAGACACCTTTC